TTTTGGGATAGCCTGGTATCGCCAGAGACCCGGGAAGGCGCTGGAGTTCGTTGCAGGGATCAGCAGATACAGTGGCAACACTTTCTACGCGGATTCAGTCAAGGGCCGGTTCACGATGACGAGCGACAACGGGCAGAGCTCGGTGACGCTGACCATGAACAGCCTCAAGGACGAGGATTCCGGATCCTATTTCTGTGCCAGATGTTTTGACAGCAATTGTGAATGGTTCGCTGTTTCTGCTTCTGGCGCTGCCGGTTATGGCCATGATGCCGATCATGGCGCCAGGCCCCCAGCCGTGGGGTTGTGCCTGGTCTCAAAATCCCCCCAGTCCTTCCCCCCAATCCCGACTCTTGACCCCATTCTTGACCTGAACGCCAACTCTGCCATCGCTGCCCCCGTTCTCAACTTTCGGCCAATTTTGGCCATTTCACCCAAATCTCCCCTGGCTCCCAGGCCCTGATTGGTTGGAGGCCAACTGGAAGCCATGGTGAAGGTTTGGGGCCAATGGTTGAATTTTGGGGCAGGGATGAAGTTTTGGGGCCAATGGTTGAGATTTGGGGCCGAAGCCGGAGAGGTTTTGGGGTCAGTGCTGAGCATTGGTGCAAATCGGGGAGAATTGGGACAAAGGGCCGAGAGCTGAGGGTTGGGGGAAGGGTCTGGGTTTGGGGACGGGGGGGACACCGAGATGGGGCCAGGGATCCACCACTGGCATCTTCAACATCACCAACAGCACCCCAATTACCAGCATAGGTACTTTTGGCACAGAAATAGGATCCGGAGTCCTCGTCCTTGAGGCTGTTCATGGTCAGCGTCACCGAGCTCTGCCCGTTGTCCCTGGAGATCGTCACCCGGCCCTTCAACGACGGTGCGTACCAGGTGCTGCTACCATCACTGCTGATGTACGCGACGAATTCCAGCGCCTGCCCGGGTCTCTGGCGGATCCAAAACATGGCAAACCTCCCGAAATCGAAGCCAGACCCTCGGCAGAGGAGGCGCAGGGACCCCCCGGGGGGCTGGAGGTCCCCCCCGGACTCCAGCAGGGTCACGGCCGCCCGGAGCCCTGCGGGAACAAGGGGAGATGGGGATGAGGTGCCGGATCCGGGTGTGGCCCGGGATGGGCGTGACCAGATCCAGAGCTGGCAGGATCCTGTTGGGAAGGGGAGCTGGATCATGAATGCCTAAGGAAGAGGAAGCGGAGGTTCAAGAGTCAAAATTTGGCGCCAAGGGTCAGGATTTGGGTCAATGTTTGAGCTGCTCCCATCCCCCTTTTCCCCACAGGGCTCCGGGCGGCCGTGACCCTGCTGGAGTCCGGGGGGGACCTCCAGCCCCCCGGGGGGTCCCTGCGCCTCCTCTGCCGAGGGTCCGGGTTCAGTTTCGGGGATTTTGGAATGTACTGGATCCGCCAGAGACCCGGGCAGGCCCTGGAATACATCGCAGGGATCTACAGCGGTGGCAGCACCTTCTACGCGCCGTCGGTGAAGGGCCGGGTGACGATCTCCAGGGACAACGGGCAGAGCTCGGTGACGCTCACCATGAACAGCCTCAAGGACGAGGATTCCGGATCCTATTTCTGTGCCAAATCTTATAACACTGGTGCTAGTCCTGCTCGTATTGGTGACGGTGCCACCCCCCACTCCGCGTCCCCCCCGCCCCCCAAGCCCAGACCCCTCCTCCAAAGCCCAGCCCCAGGCCCAGCTCTTGACCATTGATCCCAGCCTTGCTCTGTCCTGGCCCCAGTTCTCACCCGCTGACCCCAAACCACAACTCCTGACCCCAAATCTCCACTTTGTTCCCCAAAACCTTGCTCTGAAGGTCGGGGTTTGAGCCCAGATTTGGGTCAAGGTGGGGGATTTGTGCCACCGGCAGCGACTGGGAGCCCAAAGTGGAGATTTCTGGAAAAACTGGGCAAGTTTTGGCACCAAACCAGTTGGGTTTGGGGCGGAACCAGGCGGGTTTTGGGGTTTTTGGTCAGCGTTGGTGGAAATGGGAGAGATGAGACAAAGGGTCAAGGGCTGAGGTTTGGGGGAAGGGTCTGGGTTTGGGGACAGGTGGGGACGCTGAGGTGGGGCCAGGGATCCATCAGAGGCGTCTTCATCATAAGCACCAGCATCAGCAGCCCAAGTACCAGTGTAAGCATGTTTGGCACAGAAATAGGATCCGGAATCCTCGTCCTTGAGGCTGTTCATGGTCAGCGTCACCGAGCTCTGCCCGTTGTCCCTGGAGATCGTCACCCGGCCCTGCACCGA